GGGAGAGGGAAAAATGGTCTACGGCTTCAGCCACTCACAGAACACACCCCCCTCCCCGGCCACCACTGCCTGAGCCAACTGCAGCTCCAGGGCCCAGGCCGGGGAGGGAGGGTCATGGCCAGAGGAAAAGGGAGATTTCCAAGGGCAAAGGGGCAAACCCCGCTCTTAGGGGTGTTCCTGGCTCAGGAGCCTGACCATGCTGTTTCCCACTTGAAGACTGGTCCAGGCTCCTGCCTTAGGGACACGTAGTTCTTTTTTAAAACTATGTGCGTATCACTTTATAGTTTCCAAAGAGCTCCTGGATCACTGGTCAAAGGGCAGGGTCTGGGATGTCTTCATTCTATTTTTTTTTTTTAAATAGACTCTATTATTAGAACAAATTTTGGTACACAGTAAAATTGAGAGGCAAGGATGCTGGAGTGGATTGCCCTTTCCTGCTCCAGGGGATCTTCCCGACTCAGGAATCAAACCCGGGTCTCCTGCACTTCAGGCAGAGTCCTTACCAACTGAGCTACGAGGGAAGCCCAAAATTGAGAGGAAGTTACAGAGATTTCTCATATATCCTCTGCCTCCACACGCGCATAGCCTTCCCTGTTGTCAACATCTTCCACCAGAGTGATAAAATTGTTACAACTGATGAACCCACATTAACAAATCAAAAGCATCCAAAAGAGATGCCTAGTTCTCAAGGTCATCCAGTCCTCAAGGTCATCTAGTTCTCAAGGTCATCTAGTTCTCAAGATCACCTAGTCCCCAAGGTCACCTAGTTCTCAAGTTCATCTAGATCCCAAGGTCACTTAGTTCTCGAGGTCATCTAGTTCTCAGGGTCATCTGGTTCTCAAGGTCACCTAGTTCTCAAGGTCACCTAGTACTCAGCTGAGGTTGAGGCTGCTCCATACTGGAGGACTTAAGTGATGGAAGGCAGTCTGAAGAATCCCATGTGTGTGCATGTATGTGTGTGCATATGTGTGTGTGTGTGTGTGTGTTGAGGAGCAGCAAGGGATTAAGATGCCTCCAGGCCTGCAGAGTGAGCTGCCTTCCTCCCGTCTGTGGCCCCAGGGAAGCTCTCAGCCCCTCTCCTGCTCTGCACCCCTCGCCAGACAGAGTCCTGGGAGGGCCAGCATCAGTCTTGGGGTCGCACCTGAGCAGCAAAGCTCTGGGAAGAGAGGCTTAGAGCTTATAAGACACTTCCCACAAACACCGAGAATTTGCATGAGCTTCCAGAATGACTTTCTACATCACAGAGCAAGAGAACATTCAGGCCCGCGGGAAAAACAAAGAGTGGTGAGATAAACTAGGGTCCTTCCTCCTTGTGGTAAAAGTTTGGTGGATGAGTCTGCAGTTGCAGTCAGCTTTGGCTCTCTGGACAGTGGTGCCTTTGTTGACCTCACGTATTTCAGTTTTTGTTGGAGTTTGTTGACAGCTCCATTGAAACCCAAATGCTTGACCACCTAGAGCTTAGAAAGGCTTAGGAGAGGATTGACCTCAAGTCCGCCTGCGAGTTAAAACTCAGGTCAGAAGTGACAGGATGATGGAGTGAGTCCTTTCCTCGCTCCTTCCAAGTCAGACAAGAAAGCTTTGCTATTTTGCCCTAAGTGAATTCCAAGAACTCCAAATACATCTGTAGATTTGAAAAACAAAGCTAAGTATGACTTTTTTTTTTTTAATCACTCCTTTTCAAGTCCCTCCACTCCAATGTCTTTCTAATTCAGCCCCAACCAAGTAGCCACTCTGGCCCATGGGAATAAAAACCAAAATAAGGAAACATCTTTTATTCCATTCATTGACATTTTAATCTTCACCTTTACCCAAAATGTGTTCAGAGGCTTATGATGAATCACTTATGTAACTAGCTAAAATAGAAGGAGAAGACTTCAGAAAGGAAAAGACGGTGTTGGAAACTGGGAATAATACAGTTATTAGAAACGAGATTTACATATGACCCTGAGCCTCCAGCGAGACAGAGCAAAAAGAGAAACTTTAGGGTGATCATCCTCTGATGAAAAGGGATGTACAACTTTTTATCAAGAAGGACACAGTTGAAAGATCTGAGACAAATTGATGGTGTAGACACTTGAACGCAGTTTCCTTTCTTGTCCTGTTACAATTACTAAGATGGCACCGACTTGATGGGATTCTTCAGAATTCAGCCACACAGCTTCCCTGGCTCTTGATTCTGAAATTCCACAAAATGCTCTGCCAGTTGCCAAATCCATCCTCTCCACACAGCTCATTCAACAGTAAGCAAACCTGGCTCCTGAAATCCTTGCCCGTACTCTTCAGTTTCCTTAGGTCAATGCATCGTACTCCAAAGTGGTGGAGGCCAGAGGTAGTAAGTTACCATTACCTTCCAGAAGGCGGGGAAAATGTATCAAGATCCTTGCTGTAAATATAAACCCCATAACCCTTCATGCCAGGGCCGGTCACTGGAGGCCACAGATTAAAGCAGATCGTTGAGTTCCAGGACCACCCTGGCCCTCTCCACACGGGCTGAGCTCGTGCCAGCCCCGGCTGTCTCCGAGGTGGATGGAAACCGATGGGAGTGTAAACAGCATGGCTGGCATCTCTTTCCCAGGAATATTCCTTTTCTTAGGCTGGTAACTACCAGCCAGTCTAAGACTTTTCTTACCAGTCTAACTGGGTAACCCCTGAGTTCATGCCTAACTCATTCCAAGGTACAGTTTTTAGAAGAAACTGTCATGAGAAGCCAGGAAAAAAATGTGACTGAGATATGACTAGGTAGAGGGCAGCTGCTGTTATACCTGAGTGATGCGTCAAAAGGCAGGGTTTCCAACCTGTACTGAAATCTGTACCAATTTCCCATAGTGCTCTCTCTGAGGTCATGTAGTCCCAGGCTGTGCAAAAAAACTGGGATGAAATACAACGCCAACAGCTACAGTAAATGAACAAGTAAATCTGGTTGCAGGACTTTGCTGAGAGACACCGTGTACTCATATATACGCACGTGTGCACGTGCATGCATGTGCGCGCGTGCACACACACACACACACACACACACACATGCTTTAACATCAAGGAGACTTCTGGGGCTTGACAATCCTGGTTCCCCAAGACAACCAAGTTTCACGATCCAGGTAAGAACCATGTGATCCATACGATACTGAGATGGGCACACCATTTTTCATACTAAGTCTTCTCAATGCAGTGCGTGTTTCACACTTACACCACATCTCGGTTCAGACACCTGGTATTTTAGGTGCTCAGTGGCCGCTTGGATGGTGGTTGCCACTTTGGGGGCTGCTGGCTAAATTATGTTTCTTCCCACACGCCCCCTCCCCAGCAAATGGAAGGCGTGTATCTCTTCTCTGATCTCATGGTTCCTTTCAGGAGCAGGGTGGTGTCTCCTGTCCTAGACGTGATTGACTGGAAGACCTTCCAGTATTACCCCTCCGAGGACCAGCAGCGAGGAGTGTTGGACTGGAAGCTGGATTTCCACTGGGAGCCTTTGCCGGAGCGCGAGAGGAGGGCCCTTGCCTCCCCTGTCAGTCCCATCAGGTGAGGCTCTTCCTCTGGCCGACTTTGCCACTGCCTCCCCCGTGCGGGCTCAGCAGTGGGCGGGCTCGGCAGCAGGCGGCCTGGGCCAACCCAGGCTCTCCCCCTCTCCTAGCAGGTTCAATGCAATTCAGTTCAGTCATTCAATCGTGTCTGACTCTCTGCGACCCCATGGACTGCAGCACACAGGCCTCCCTGTCCATCACCAACTCCCGGAGCTTACTCAAACTCATGCCCATCGAGTCAGTGATGCCATCCAACCATCTCATCTCTGTCGTCCCCTTCTCCTCCTGCCCTGAATCTTTCCCAGCATCAGGGTCTTTTCCAGTGAGTCAGCTCTTTGCATCAGGTGGCCAAAGTATTGGAGCGTCAATATTGGAGCTTGTAGCAAGTTACCTAATCAGTAAGCTGGGGATCACAATGGTACTTACCTTCTAGGGAGGCTGTGAGGTTTCAGTGAGCTAATATATGAGAAGCATGCAGAAACTGTCAGACACTCAGGGATGGGTGTTATTATCCTCACAGTGTTATATGAGTGGAATCTGGCGAAGTTTCCAGACCATGGAAGTAGGAAGCGGAAGCATCTTATCTGGGGTCTCAATCCAGCTCTGTCTCACCAGGAAACTCTGGTGTTTCCCAGGCCTCAGATGCTTTCTTGGTAAAAGGGAAGAATTCAGCTAGGTAAATGCTAAGAAAGCGGAAGTCTCAAAATACGTCCAGCTTTATGTTTTGCTTCTCACGAGTTTGACTTTTAGACAAATATCCTATGTTTAACATAAGATATATTAAGTTTAAAATCTAGCTGATGTTCTAGAGAGCTTCTGCTGTGTAACAAACCATCCACACTTTAGGGTGTGGAGGAACTTTTGTTAAGAGCCTGGACTCTGTGTTGTGAATTCTGAAAGGAGTAGTGATGTTGGCTGTTTGCTCCGTGGTGTCTGGGGCCTCAGCAGGACCAGCCTCGACTAGACTAGACTGGCTGGAAATGACTCAACAGCTTGGGGGAGGATTCCCCAGAGTCTGATGCTGGCCATCACTGGGACCCAGTGGGAGCTTCTTCCCTGGTTTCTCCATGAGATCACTGCAGGCGGGTTCGCTGGGGCTTCCTACACCCTGGCACTGGGTTCAGTCAGCAAGGGTCCCAGAAGACTCAGGCAAAGCAAGCTGTAATCTCCTACCTAACTAAAAAAATAATGTATTGAGGCGAAATTCATATAATGTAAAATGAACCATTTCTAAGTGAACAATTCAGTATATTTGCAATGCTGAGCAACCATTGCCTGTTTATAGCTCCAGAACATTTCCCTTTTTCTAAAGGAAAATCCCTTCCTTGCTGCCTCCCACTGTCCCCTTTCTCCAGCCACTAGCAATCCCCAATCCACTGTCTGTCTCCATGAATTTACCAGTTCTGGATATTTAACACCAAGGGGCTCACACAATAGGTGACCTCTTGTGTCTGGCTTCTCCCACTTATCGTGATGTTTCAGAGTATGTACCCCCTTTTATAAGCAAGTCTCAGAGGTCACCCCGGGTCACTTCCTCCACAGCCGCAGGCCCCCTAGGTTCCCAGGAGGGAGACGTGACCCTAACTCAGTGGGGTCAATGTCACATTGTAGACAGAGCCCAAGGAACAAGGATTCTGCCACCTTTGACCTGCCCAACACCAAGCAACCACCCAAGCTGTTTCCATGTGCCTAGGCTGTGGACACAGAGTGACACGTTAGTCACAAACAGGACTTCCAAGTGCCTACCGGAGGGTGTGTGACTAATAGATGACCTAAGCCACCAAGATTAGAAATGTAAAAAGTATCTTTTTATTTTCTACTAACTGAATTTAGGTAATTTCTCTCTTGATCCCTGTCTGCTAACGGCATAAAACTTCTGGATAAATTAGACGGGTTCAGTGATAGCTTAGCCACCTCATCATTAAATCTGTCATCCAGGCGTGTCCACCTTCCCGTCCCTCTGGGGTGGATTCTGGGCTCCAGGCTTCTGTGGGGGGCGCCGGTGGGAAGGACGTGCTCCACGTCAGGCTCTGGCTGTCCTGTGTTGGGTTCACCATGATGCGTGTGCTTTCACCAGCCGTGGCCACAGATGGCGGCTGGCACACGGGTCCTACTGGCCTGCACCCTCCACATGGCATCTGCCGAGGTCCCACATCTTCTTCCGGCCCACCCTGGCGTGCTGATGCTCCGGGAGCCTCTAAGGAGCTGCACCTACCACCTGCCTGCCTGGGCACCACCTAGGCCCTATCTCCTGGGGCCAAGGGCCATCTGGGGGGTCTGAACTCCCAGGGCCGCCAGCTGGGAGGTGGGCCGTGCACCCTCTGCTCTCTGGTCCCCAAACAACAAGCAAGGGATCCCCCTCCTCCAGGAATTGCCCTGAAGGTGTCAAGGTGGATACCAGGTCCTTCTCGGGGATCTACCTGAATCTCTGTGTCTTGGTCTCCCCATGGCTGTCTCTTCTGTCCGCAGGCTGGAGGATCTTATCTAGTTTGGACATAGAAAATCCTGGCTCTGCGAGGATGAGCCCTCACCTTAGGCCTAGACTGCAGCTTTGCCATTAGACTTGAAAACTCAGAGTCTATTGTCTCTGTTCTTGGCTTTGGGGCCACGTTGTAGCCAGCTCAGCCGTCATAACAAAAAACCACAGGTTGGGTGGCTTAATCACATGAGATTTATTTTCTTATGTTGCTGGACCTCATTTAGCCTTAATTACTTCTTCAGAGGCCCCATCTCCAAATCCAATACACTGCGGGTTAGGGCTTTGACATGTGGATTTGGGAAGGATGCAGACATTCAGTCTGGAACAGGCCCATACCAACCTCAGGCCTTGTATTCCCAGTGGGGAAGGGTCATGGTACTAAGATGCAGGTGTAAGAGGTGGGGTGCAGAACCAGATATGTTTTACCTCCTTCTGTCATAGGGCATCCTGGAAGCACAGAGAGCTAAGTCTAACTTCATTACTGGCCTGTCAGCATCTTCTGAGCCCCTGTTTCATGCCAGACACTCTACTGAGGTCTGTGACCCCAAAGAATTGAAAGGGAAGTTTCTGGACCTCTCTGAGTTATGGTGTGGGAGGATGGTATATCTCAGAATTATGAGGAGTGCTGGATAGGTGGGTCCCCAGAGAGTTAAGAGAGGGGCCTGCCTGAGGGAGCAATGTATTCTGCTCCAGCCAAAGCGAAGGGATTCCATTCAAGAGAACAGACTCCTCAGAGGAGCTTTGCCCAACCTGAGGCAAAGGCTCCTTGACTCCAAGCACCAGTCCTCTCTGGAACCTTCTTTTAGGCCTCAGGGTCTCTCTGATGCCCAAGGTCACTGCAGTCACCTTGACCCACCCAGTGTGACCTACCATTGGCCAAAGTTCCAGCCAGAGAGAGCCCAGTCGCCTTCGCCTGGGGCGGCTTCTCCTTCCCTAGGCCCATACCAACCTCAGGCCTTGTATTCCCAGTGGGGAAGGGTCATGGTACTAAGATGCAGGTGTAAGAGGTGGGGTGCAGAACCAGATATGTTTTACCTCCTTCTGTCATAGGGCATCCTGGAAGCACAGAGAGCTAAGTCTAACTTCATTACTGGCCTGTCAGCATCTTCTGAGCCCGTTTCATGCCAGACACTCTACTGAGGTCTGTGACCCCAACGAATTGAAAGGGAAGTTTCTGGACCTCTCTGAGTTATGATGTGGGAGGATGGTATATCTCAGAATTATGAGGAGTGCTGGATAGGTGGGTCCCCAGAGAGTTAAGAGAGGGGCCTGCCTGAGGGAGCAATGTATTCTGCTCCAGCCAAAGCGAAGGGATTCCATTCAAGAGAACAGACTCCTCAGAGGAGCTTTGCCCAACCTGAGGCAAAGGCTCCTTGACTCCAAGCACCAGTCCTCTCTGGAACCTTCTTTTAGGCCTCAGGGTCTCTCTGATGCCCAAGGTCACTGCAGTCACCTTGACCCACCCAGTGTGACCTACCATTGGCCAAAGTTCCAGCCAGAGAGAGCCCAGTCGCCTTCGCCTGGGGCGGCTTCTCCTTCCCGGAGACCCAGCTGCTGCCCGGCCCCTGTGGAGGCCTCAGGCTCCCTGTAAAAGGCCCAGATCTCTTTTCACACACGTTCATATGTTTCTAACTGTGTCTTCCCCACCCTGGGTACTCTGACTGCATGGCCTCTCTCATCAGTCTGGTGAGAGAGCATGAAAGAGGAATTAGGATGAGGTTGGGTACCGATTATATACAGATGCCAAGAAAATTCCAGAAAGGATATCATCATTTGTACATTTGCAAATGACAGTATTAAGTGATATTTATTGAACATGTGCTTAGTTAATGCTATAAACGTATTATACATATCAGCTGGCTCAGTGGTAAAGAAACTGCCTTCCAATGCAGGAGACACAAGAGAGACAGGTTGGATCCCTGGGTCATGAAGATCCCCTGGAGGAGGGCATGGCAACCACTCATTTTCTTGCCTGGAGAATCCCATGGACAGAGGAGCCTGGTGGGCTTCAGTCCATAGCGTCATGCAGAGTCCAACACGACTGAAGTGACTTAGCACGCACATAATTCTGTGAAGCAGTTACTGGTAGTAATTACTATTATTAGTCCCATTTCACACATGTGAAAATGGAGGTACACAGAGGTTAAATTAGAGGTGAACCTTCTAGAGATTGCCCAGTTGCATAAAGTTGTTAAGCAGCAGATCCAAGATTAAACCTGGAGGCCAGCCTCCTGCTACAATGCTCTTCATGGCTTCGCTCTGCTGTGTTTTAAAGACAAGTTTTAAATACAATCTATCATTGCCAGGTACATAAAGGCTATACAGATACCCGTGTCAGTTCAGGGCAGGGCTCGCTGCCAAAGGCATCATGAAAAAGCACTTGATTTTCAGAGATCTTTCGGTTTTGGCAAGCAGATGTACTTTACATGACATTTCTTTGAGTCCCCCAAAACTCCATTATTGTCCCCAGTTAGAGGAGATGAAATTGAGCCCAGAGTGGTCATTTATCTCATCCAAGACCTTACAAATTGTAAGTGGTAAAACTGGAAAGAATTACACTACTGGTTTTTATTGTGGTGTAACTTCGTATTTTTAATAGCCCAAACGTCAGTAGTTTTGTTCATGTAACACTATTGTCTTAGTAATTTAAAAAATCTGAACTCTGAGTCATCCACCCTTGAGGCACACCCAGAGTTTGGCCATATTGAAATGTGTACTCTTTTGAATGAAGAGATTCTGATTCCGAAGCCTCTGGCTCTGTCCTCCTCAGGTAAGCTCTTCTAAAGGATGTTGCTGTCATCTTAATTCCCTCACTCAGGGATTCCAGCTTCCTGTGTTTTTAAGGCACGTGTATTTCCCCCAGAGCATCTGGGGACCTACCTATTCCAGAGTCCCTGCAGCATTCGTCTTAGGGGGTGCGTGCTCGTGAAGCAGATAAGAGTGTGAGGTCAAGAATGAGGGCAGGAAGAGGCCTGCTGGTCCCTCTGGTCCAGGCCTGGGGCTGCTGGCCTCGGGGCACCTTATTTTAACCAAGGTCTTCTTTCCAAAGACCTCACCAGAGAGGGGGCCCTCCCTGAAGGAGCAGAGTCAAGGATGGGGTATAAAAGGTCCAGGCAGCCAGCACTCTCTTTTCATGAAACACCAGGACTTGTGACATGCTCGCTTGGCCCCAGTCTCGCAATTAAAAGCCCTGAGGTCTGACTGAGCCCTGAGTCCACTCTCTGGGCCCCTGGAGCACCCCCACCTGCCATGCCCACCCCCAGGTGCTCCGGGTTCTGAACTGTGGTCTGTTCCCTCCCTCTCTTCCCAGGAGCCCCGTGGTACCTGGCGGGGTGGTGGCCATGGACCGACATTACTTTCAAAACACCGGAGCATATGACCCTCTCCTGTCACTGCAGGGAGACGAAAACCTCGAGCTGTCTCTCAAGGTATGTCCTGGGCTACGGGAGGCCCAGGAGTTTCTCTGGAGCCATGGGTGGCATCACAGCTTGGAGGTCAAGGATGCAGCTTCAGACAAACACAGAGTCATCATCCGGGGGGTGTCCCACCCTGCTCTCTGCCCCTCTGGCCTCTCTTGGCTTCAGCATAGCCTCCCTCCTGAACCCACTTGAGCCCGCTCGAAGGAAAGGGCATGTCTTCAGCCATCTCCGCCTGACACAGAGCTTCCTAGACGTCCTCCGAGGCCAGCACACTTAGCCCCTGGAGAGTTTTCACCATGCCCACTGGCCGGAGCAAATACCACATAATTCTGTGTGCTTCGTTTGATCCAAACAACTTAATGGGGCTTCCCTTGTAGCTCAGTTGGTAAAGAATCCGCCTACAATGCAGGAGACCCGGGTTCGATTCCTGGGTTGGAAAGATCCCCTGCAGAAGGAAATGGCCACCCACTCCAGTATTCTTGCCTGGAGAATCCCATGGGCTATAGCCTGCCAGGCTCCTCTGTCCATGGGGTTACAAGAGTCGGACACGACTTGGCAACTAAACCACCACCAAACAACTTAATGAGCATTTGTCCAAACAGTGTAGCCCCACTGCGCACCACACAATTTCTCAAGCCTTGGGTCAGATCGGACCCTCCACCCACAATTTCCTGTTCCTCATTGATTTTTAGCCTGCTTTTTCACTGCAGCAGCCCCTGAAAACCTAACCGAGCGAAGACAAACAGCATTGAAAGTACAGCAATCTGAGGTTGAAATCAGTTTGCAGAACATCCAACAGGTGTCATTATGTTTCTCCTGAATGTTGAAAATAGCCCACTCAGCCATCTGAGTTTGCTCTGGCACCCACTTTGGAAAGACCATGGTTTGCCTTCTTGATGTCTTTTTGTCCATGTACTGCCTATCCGAGGCAGGTTTTCGCTTTCCTCTTTATTCCCAAGTAGGGAATAAGACACTTCTTGTCAGATGAACTCCAGGCATTTGGGAGTAGGAGTGAGTGGAGAGCAAAGAAACTTCTAGGAGTAGGAATCTTTAGGATGGACTGGTTGGATCTCCGTGCAGTCCAAGGGACTCTCAAGAGTCTTCTCCAACACCACAGCTCAAAAGCATCAATTCTTCGGCACTCAGGTTTCTTTATGGTCCAACTCTCACATCCATACATGACCACTGGAAAAACCATAGCCTTGACTAGACAGACCTTTATTGACATTTTGAATATGCTCTCTAGGTTGGTCATAACTTTTCTTCCAAGGAGTAAGCGTCTTTTAATTTCATGGCTGCAATCACCATTTGCAGTGATTTTGGAGCCCAAGAAAATAAAGTCAGCCACTGTTTCCAGTGTTTCCCATTGTTGCAGGGGTGTGACCCCTCAACTCACAGGTCCCGGCCCGGGACCACCACCCTCGTTTTCCCCAGCTTGTCCCTCGCCCCCCTGCCCAGAACTCTCAGACCAGGAAACTCTGTTCCATCCAGAGAACTAGTGTCATTCTGCGCTCGGGACGTCCCAGGCATTTTGCCAGCCCCTCCCAGGGCCCCTCGTGTCCCACGTCCCTGGAGAGAAGCACAGAGGTGTGAGTTTTCTTCTTTCCTGGCAGACCTGGCTCTGTGGGGGCTCCGTGGAAATCCTGCCCTGCTCCCGCGTGGGGCACCTCTACCGAAATGAAGATGCCCACTCCCAGCGTGAGTGGGAGGCCACCCTGCAGAACAAGGTCCGCATCGCTGAGACCTGGCTGGGCTCCTTCAAAGAAACCTTCTACAGGCACAGTCCAGAGGCCTTGTCCCTGAGCAAGGTAAGGGGAGAGCCCAGCAGAGGCTTCTGTGCCCACCCAGGGCTCCCCCAGCTGGAGGCTGGGCCAGGAGTACCTCGCCTCTGCCTTGAAGGGCAGACAGAAGCTTCCAGTGGGTACTTCCATGGGGGCCCTCTCAAGGGGCTCCCCCTCCTGGTGGGGTTGTCCTCTGTCTCTCCCAGCATCTCTGGGGGGTTGGAGGGGGAGGCAGTCACAGCTGGTCCTGGCCTCGAATCCCCGGATGTCTGTGGGACGGGGTCTGTCATTATGTGGCAGTCTCATCACATTTAAGGCTGCCACCGTTCATCCTGGGCCCAGAGGAGAGACTGGGCAGGGCATCATTGCTGAGATGGGTCCCTGAGGGCCCTTTCGTCCCAGGGAAAGTACTCAAGGCCGTGCAATCACCCCAAGACGTGAAACAAATAGAAGCATAAAAGTAAACGTGAAGGACCTCCCCCCAAAAGCCCAGAGAAATAAACCTTTCAAACACTTGATTAAATGTCCACAAACAGGGCATTTTCAACTGGTCCACGACCACTCAGCACTGTTCTGATGGCAGGACATGTGAATGCTGTTTGGCGTGGGACGCGGCTCACAGTGACGCGTGCGGTCCGCATCCCTCGGCCTCCTCCCAGACCCCCGGGCCTTCCCCCGCGTGAGCTGTGATCTAAAGCTGCTTCCTCCGGGCTGCCGCCTGTGTCTCCCCCTCCCCAGGCTGGGAAGCCGGACTGCATGGAGCGTCAGCAGCTGCAGAAGAGGCTGGGCTGCCGGACCTTCCACTGGTTTCTGGCCAACGTCTACCCCGAGCTGTACGCACTGGAACGCAGGCCCAGGTTCTCCGGAAAGGCAAGGCATGAGAGAGACAAAGGGAAGAGGAGGAGGAGACGGGGCCGAGCGGCTTCCGCAGCCAGGGCCTGGGTTCGGAGGCTCTCCTACCGCCCCGGGCACCCAGGCCCAGCCCAGCGGGGCCTCCCTGCGGGGGATGGCTGGGCTGGGCCGTAACCCACCGAGGGCCCCTCGCCCTGGGGTGCTGCCACGACCTTCAGGAGGCCCGGCCCTCAGGATCGCTGGCTTGCGCTTGACCTCCCTCGATTCTGCGGCCNCTGGGCTGGGCCGTAACCCACCGAGGGCCCCTCGCCCTGGGGTGCTGCCACGACCTTCAGGAGGCCCGGCCCTCAGGATCGCTGGCTTGCGCTTGACCTCCCTCGATTCTGCGGCCGGATCGTGGGCCTGAGCGCCACCGTAGAGAGTGAAGGAGGGGACCGCGGCCGACAGAGGGTGTCTTCGCGCCCAGGGCGGGATTCACCCCTGCGTGTGTCTGCTTACAGCTCCACAACACGGGACTGGGCCTCTGCGCCGACTGCGCGGTGGAAGGGGCCGCCCCGGGCTGCGCCGTGGTGCTGGCCCCTTGCAGCGACGCTCAGCAGCAGCAGGTGGGTGGCCAGCGCTCCCAGACCCCCAGAGGGTCTTTGCTGGGATGCCCCTCTCTTCCTCTGCGGGCCTCTCCTTTCCCGGGTCCCGCGTTCATGACTGTGCCTGGTCCCCCACTCTTGTGACCCGTCCCCCCCAACCTGTCCCCAGCGCCTAGCCCAGATGTGGAGCTGTCAGAGAAGGCGAGCCTCTGAGCTCAAGGGGAAGGGCCAGGCTGTTTAGCCAGTCGTTCAGCTGACAGATAAGGAAACGGGGCCCTGGAGGGTGGCTAGCCCGGGGCGACCAAAGCAGGTGTCTCCAGAATCCCGGTGGGTAAGGGGCAGTGGGAGCGGAGAGGTGCGCCTGCCCCAGCCGCATGCATGTCTCTTGTCTTGTGTGGAAGCGGATCCAGTATTACAAGATCATCCAAAAACATAAAAGACACTGGAAATCCAGAATTCATGGAAAAGGCTCCCATTAAAAAAAAAAAAAAAATTATTTACTAGCCAAGCCTCACAGTATGCAGGATCTTCCCCAACTAGGGATCAAACCCATGCCCCCTACAGGGGAAGTGTGGAATCCCAACCTCTGCCCTGCTAGGGAATTTCCTCTTTTGCTTTTTATTGGAGTGTAGTTAGTTGATCTACAATGTTGTGTTAGCTTCTGGTGTATAACAAAGTGATTCAGTTCTACATATATGCATATTCATGTTCTTTTTCGGGTTCTTTCCTGTTGTAGCTTATTACAGGATATTGAATATAGTTCCCTGTGCTATACAGTAGCGCCTTGCTGTTTATCTATTTTGTATGTAGTAGTTTGTGTCTGCTAATCCCAAACTCCTAATTTATCTGTTCCCCCACCCCCTTTCCCCTTTGGTAACCATGAGTTTATCTTCTCTCTATGTGGGTCTGTTCCTGTTTTGTAAACATACTAAGTGAAGTAACTCAGACAGAGAAAGACAAATATCATAAGATGTCTCTTGTGTGTGGAATCTAAAAGATGATGCAAATGAACTTATTTACAAAATGGAAAAGTTCATCACTTAAATTAAAAATCTATAATCAGAGATCAAAGAAAACTTATCTGCAGGCAAATTCCCACCAGGGCACCTTTATGAAACCAGTTCAAGACCAGTTCAAGACCATTAGCCAACTAGAACCAGAGACGGGGACAGTCGGTCACCAAGCAGGCGCTATAGGCACAGAAGCCCCGAGGAAGCGAGGAGACCCCAGAAAACGTCCCCCATTTACAGCAGTGCAACAAACCCGTGACTTGTGACTGCGTTCCTGAGACTCCAGGCTGCTGGCCCTGAGTCTTGCCCGCGTAGATACGCTGTGTCTTTCAGGCATTTAATGCGGATCTCTGGGGACCAAGACTTCCAGGCCAGAGGGGGCTCTCAGGGGAACACAAGAGCTGTGTGTGTGTGTGTGTGTGTGTGTGTGTGTGTGTGTGTGTGCTGGGGAGAGAGGGCTGGGTTTGGGCAGACAGCCTCATGGCCTCAGCGGCCCCCGCCCCACTTGCCAGAGGAGGGGTCACCCAGCTGGGTCGTCGGCTGCAGGTATCAGAGCAGCGGCTTCACTCCCCATGCACCGAGCATGTGGTCTGTGAAACTCCTTCCTCGGGGAGAAGGGCTTGCACTCCACAGTCAGAAGGGAGGCAGAGGGTGGAAACGCCCCTGGGGAAGGGAGGGGAACGGCTCTCCTGGGGCGGGCATGCCGGAGACCATCCGTGGATTCCCGGGGGCTCCCTCCACAGTGAGGCTGGAGCCCGGGGTGACCGGAAGGGCGGGCTGCCCTGTGACAACAGAAGCTTCTGACCCGCTGCTGCTGCTGCGGCTGCTGCTAACTCGCTTCAGTCGTGTCCGACTCTGTGCGACCCCACGGACAGCAGCCCACCAGGCTCCTCTGTCCATGGGGTTCGCCAGGCAAGAATATTGGAGTGGGTTGCCATTTCCTTCTCCAATGCATGCCTGCATGCTAAGTCGCGTCAGTCGTGTCCGACTCTGTGCGACCCCACGGACAGCAGCCCACCAGGCTCCTCTGTCCATGGGATTCTCCAGGCAAGAATATTGGAGTGGGTTGCCATTTCCTTCTCCAGCTTATGACCCAAGGGGCGGCCAAAGTGAGACGATGAGCATGACCGGCAGGTCCACACACGGGGAGGGTCTCCTTGACCCTGAGGTCCTGCTCGTGGGCGCATGCGGCCAGCAGGATGGACTAGGAGATCGGTGCCGAGTGAGGGGGAGGATCAAGAGGCAGAGGGTGCTTCCAGCATCATGTGGGGTCCTCTTATCAGGAAGGGCTCCTTCTTTGTGAAGGTGTTTATTCTCTTCAAATTCCCATCACACAAATACCTGCCCAGGTAATGGGACGCCCCTGTGACTATGGTTGAGGGTTGGGGGGGTTCACTTCTTTTCACAGCTTGGATGATAACCTAGAAAGTCTAGCCCAAACCTCTCTGCTTTCAGCCTGGGATGGGGCTATTGCATTAAGCTGTTCTATCTCAAAGGCCTCTATTAAAAACGAACAACAAAGTGAGAGTTCCTGGAGATACTGATGGAACAAGTCAGATAAGCCCCCGAGGACCTGGGGCCAAAGCCAGGAAAATGCTTTGGAGGGTCCAGCCCTGCCAGCAGGACCAGCGAGGCTCTGGGGCCCCAGGGGAAGGCCCTGGGCCTGGAGGACTTGTCGGGAAGCAGGAAATCAGGATCCCTTTGTCCCCTTCCGGTTTTACTGTCTACCAGTGTTCTAGAACACACCCATAGGCACTCACTCCCGGCCCAGAGGACAGAAAGAAAGAGGTAAGTGAGGAGGCCTTATGACGGTGAAAGCACCTCATCTTCTGGCTGCGTGACATCAGGCAGGTTTCTTAACCTCTCTGAGTCTTGGTTTCCTCACCTGCAAGTAGGGATAATCGACTCCCTCATGGAAGAGGAATGTTTTGGAGTTTTGGAGTTAAGATTCTTGGGCTTCCCTTGTAGCTCAGTCGGTAAAGAATCTGCCTGCAGTGCAGGAGACCTGGGTTCGATTCCTGGGTCGGGAAGATCCCCTGGAGAAGGGAACGGCAACCCACTCCAGTATTCTTGCCTGGGGAATCTCATGGACAGAAGAGCCTAGTAGGTTCCCAGTCCCTGGGGTCGCAAGAATCGGACATGACTTAGCGACTAAACCACCACCAAGACTCTTGGTGGGGAGGTGGGGATTAGCAACGGCTTCTGTATCCAGAAAAATTGTGAACTAGCTAAGCTGAAACCACCATCTGCTCTATTAAGAATAAGAAGAAACACACTCTTATGTATAAGGAACTAAGTTTATAGCAAAGAGAAATCTCCAGGGACACTCACAAAACACAGGGCATCCTTCATTGCTTCATCTGCAAGGAAAGTGAAAGTCACTCGTCGTGTCTGACTCTTTGCGAGCCTGTGGACTATACTGTCCATGGGATTCTCCAGGCCAGAAGACTGGAGTGGGTAGCTTCTCCCTTCTCCAGGGGATCTTCCCAACCCAGGGATCGAACCCAGGTCTCCCGCACTGCAGGCAGATTCTTTACCAGCTGAGCCACCAGGGAAGCCAAGAATCCTGGAGTGGGGAGCCTGTCCCTTCTCCAGGGGGTCTTCCTGACCTGGGAATTGAACCAGGGTCTCCTGCATGGCGGGTGGATTCTTTACCAATTGAGCTATGAGAGAGGACCGATGGCTTCGCCTGTGTTGCAGTAAATAGAATAAAGGAGCAAACTGTCAGAGTGTATAAATATGAGCGTCACGGTAACTGGAGTGAGGCGGTGTCAGAGGTCAGGGCTAGTCCAGCAGGCTATCTGTGGATCTGCCAACGAGACGGGGTCTTACTGACTCCAGCGGAGTCTGAAGCTTGCCCCCAGACCTCGGCCCTGTTGCGGTGAGCTCTCCTCCCCTCGTCCAGCTTTGGGCAGGGTCTCCTTCTAGCTGTGCTGACGGCCGTTCCTCTGTCCCAGCGCCTGGAGCACACGGGCTGGCGTGCCATCCGCTCCGGCGGCCCACGGCACCTGTGCTTTGACGTCAAGGGGGAGCAGGTGATTCTCCAGAACTGCACCGAGGGGGCCCAGCAGCACTGGGACCATCAGGAGGTGAGTGGCCCGCCGGGGGGAGCTCGCGGGGCCGCTGGCGGGCGCCTGTCTGGCTCTTCCGAGAGGTCGAGCCTTGCCGCACAAGCCTGTGTCCCTGGGGCTGAGTTTAGCGGCCTGGCGCTAAGGCCTCAGGGGGCGGTGAAGCCAGCCTTGCAGCCCAGTTATCCGCCAGCATCCGGAAAGGTGCTAATTTACCAGGTCTCTGTGTCGCTCTGGTCTTCATGCCCTGGAAAGAGGAGACCCGCTGGCTGTAAAGTTTTTCAGCTTCAGGCCTCGAGTAGGACTGTGGGGCGTGTTACAGAGGCTGTCAAACCCCACTGGCGGGGTGCTTCTAGGAGCAGAGGAAAGGCCCGCCTCCTGTTCCACAATCAAATAGATGATGGCATCAATCGTACTTTCTTCCTTGGCTAATTTCATGCTGAGCATTTCATCATTTTTGTAAGAATTTAATTCCCGTTACCCAGAGAGAGGCTCTAGCTCCTTTCCAGAGGTTAGCATCCATAAAGAGGAAATAGGAGCAGTCTAAGTATTTAGACAGAGTGGGCAGTTTAAGGATTGGAAGGAGACAGTATTAACAACTGTCTGTACATTGTTTTTCCTTCACCTCAAATCCCTTCTGATGTGAGCTAGGGTATAAGTACATGAAAAAAAATTAACACACATCTTTTAAAATGTCTTATCTTCACCTTTTGCTTGGAAATAAGGGAGGTTAAATAACTAATCAGAGCTCCATGCATCAGCGCTCTTAAAGCAGGCTGTGAAAGAGGAAAATCATGTAGTGTAAGACTTAAGCTGAACTCACAGTAAGTGTTGAGAACAAAGCTCTTGGGGCTTTGGTGACGAGTGAACCCAGGACTCAGGGGGCCACACGTGCTCAAGGAATTCTTAGAAACCAAATTAAGGCCTTTTATGAATGATCACAAAGGATCTTTCTAAGCAAGGCCTCTGGATAAGATAGATTTAGAAACAGCATTTAAACATAATGTGTAAAAGATTAGTGACTAAGATATACCCAGCATCTTTCAGGCATTAAAAAGTAAGACTTTAAAAAAGTATTCTCATTCAGCCATAAAAAGAAATGAGGTACTGTTCAGAGCAACACTATTCACGATAGTTAAGAGGTGGAAGCAACCCAAGAATCCAGTGATTGATAAATGAATAAACCAAATATGCTATGTACGTACAATGGACTATTATTCCATCTTAAGAAAGAAGGAAATCCTGTCATTTGCTTCAACATGGACGAAACTTGAAGACAGTATTCTAAGTGAAATAAGCCGGTCACAAAAAGACAAATGCTATATGATTACACTTAATATGAGGTGTATAGAGAAGTCAGATTCATACAAACAAGATAGAGTGGTTGTTACCTGGCACAGGAGGAAGGAGGGAAAGGGAAGTTGTTATTTAACGGGTACTGAGTTTTTGTTTTGAAAGAAGAAAAATTTCTGGAGATCTGTTTCATCACAATGTGAGTATACTTAACACGAATACATTTTACACTTAAAAATGGTTAAGGTGGGGCATTTTGTGTTACATATCGTTGCTGTTGTTTAGTTGCGAAGTTGTGTCTGACTCTGCAACCCTATGGACCATCTAGTCTAAGTATTTAGACAGAGTGGGCAGTTTAAGGATTGGAAGGAGACAGTATTAACAACTGTCTGTACATTGTTTTTCCTTCACCTCAAATCCCTTCTGATGTGAGCTAGGGTATAAGTACATGAAAAAAAATTAACACACATCTTTTAAAATGTCTTATCTTCACCTTTTGCTTGGAAATAAGGGAGGTTAAATAACTAATCAGAGCTCCATGCATCAGCGCTCTTAAAGCAGGCTGTGAAAGAGGAAAATCATGTAGTGTAAGACTTAAGCTGAACTCACAGTAAGTGTTGAGAACAAAGCTCTTGGGGCTTTGGTGACGAGTGAACCCAGGACTCAGGGGGCCACACGTGCTCAAGGAATTCTTAGAAACCAAATTAAGGCCTTTTATGAATGATCACAAAGGATCTTTCTAAGCAAGGCCTCTGGATAAGATAGATTTAGAAACAGCATTTAAACATAATGTGTAAAAGATTAGTGACTAAGATATACCCAGCATCTTTCAGGCATTAAAAAGTAAGACTTTAAAAAAGTATTCTCATTCAGCCATAAAAAGAAATGAGGTACTGTTCAGAGCAACACTATTCACAATAGTTAAGAGGTGGAAGCAACCCAAGAATCCAGTGATTGATAAATGAATAAACCAAATATGCTATGTACGTACAATGGACTATTATTCCATCTTAAGAAAGAAGGAAATCCTGTCATTTGCTTCAACATGGACGAAACTTGAAGACAGTATTCTAAGTGAAATAAGCCGATCACAAAAAGACAAATGCTATATGATTACACTTAATATGAGGTGTATAGAGAAGTCAGATTCATACAAACAAGATAGAGTGGTTGTTACCTGGCACAGGAGGAAGGAGGGAAAGGGAAGTTGTTATTTAACGGGTACTGAGTTTTTGTTTTGAAAGAAGAAAAATTTCTGGAGATCTGTGTCATCACAATGTGAGTATACTTAACACGAATACATTTTACACTTAAAAATGGTTAAGGTGGGGCATTTTGTGTTACATATCGTTGCTGTTGTTTAGTTGCGAAGTTGTGTCTGACTCTGCAACCCTATGGACCATCCCCTTCCAGGCTCCTCTGTCCATGGGATTTCCCAGGCGAGAATACTGGAGTGGGTTGCCATTCCCATCTCCAGGGGATCTTCCTGATCCAGGGATCCAACCTGTGTCTGCTGCTTGGCAGGTGGATTCTTTACCTCTGAGCCACCTGGGAAGCTTAGGGCTGCATAAATTATATGACATAGTAACCAAAATACTCCAATTCCCTATCAGGCCAGTTGACAACACTTTTATCATTCTCTTAATGACTAGCACAAATTGTAGATATTTCTTTCTTTGCTGATTGTGAGGGTCCAACTGGTTTTATTTTTTTTTTTTTCTTTCTCTTTTCTCCTTTCAGAATGGGATGATTGTTCACATTCTCTCTGGGAAATGCATGGAAGCTGTGGCGCAGGAAAACAATAAAGATCTGTACTTGCGTGAGTGTGATGGAAAAGCCAGCCAGCTGTGGCGATTTGACAACGTCAGCACCGCGGATGAGCGGTGAACGCCACCCTCAGAAGGAACACAGATGCATGGCCACCGCAGTTCAGCCCCAGGGAACTGCAGCAGCATGTGCCTTTCATGAAGCAGGCCCTTTACACGTGTGCAGTGGCAAAAGCAGAGATGCGAGCTCCATGAACGAATACGGAAGGTCTTTTCTTCCTGCCCTTTATTTCACAGCCCACTGTCTGTTTTAGACAAAAACTATGGACCCATTGTCTCATTGTCTTCATCACTGGTAGATGATCATAGCATGGTACAGAAGATTCTTGTTTTTTTTTCCCCCCTACTGAGCAGTTTACAATTTCTTTTATCTCTGAGTAAGGAAAGAAGGGTCTTCTCTGGTGGCTCAGCAGTAAAGGACCCACCTGCCAGTGCAGGAGAAGCGGGTTCTATCCCTGGGTTGGGATGATCCCCTGGAGAAGGAAATAGCAACCCACTCCAGTATTCTTGCCTGGAAAATTCCATGGACAGGGGAGCCTGGCAGGCTGTAGTCCATGGGGTCATAAAGAGTTGGACACAACTCAGCAACTAAACACCAACAACACAGGAAAGAGGCCTGACAACATCTTCAGAATACATAATTCCTACTGATCAATTTATTCTAGACTGCCTTTCCCTGGACTGTCTGTGTTGACAACCATACAATTAAAGTGTGAAGAAGGTGCAAAGTTCGGACGTCCAAGAACTTTAGAATGAGCTTACGAGACAAATTTCATTGTTCATTGGTTGAACCATAGCTCAGATGAAGGAAGTAAGCTACTCAGAGAAAATAGTATTACAGAGACTTTTGCCCAATTTTCAGCTCAGCCTAGCAGCTGCAAAGAGTCAGTAGACCTGGAATAAGATGTTTTTATGTTAATGAGAATTTTCTTGGGACTTTCTACCTCCATTCACCCTTGCCCTCACTGTTCTATAGCTTGATTAACCATAATCAGATTCTCATGCAATACGCTTCTCTAAGGTCATTGGTGTTGGGTCAGCTTAGACTGAATGCTCCCACTAAAAGGAAGTGTGTACAGGTGAGAAACTCCTGATGTCCTGTTACCAGGCTTGCGTTGATTGGATCAGAACAAGCAGCTTTTGCAAAGAGGCAAATCTCCCTGGGAGGGAAATGCCAGCATCTGAGTCAAAATTCCTTTGAGAGGAACTAGAGTGGGGTGTTGATGTCCATGAGGCTGAAAGGGCTGGGTCTGAGCCCCCAGGAAATGTCTGGTTACCCCCAAAGGGACCCACATCTGAACATTCAGCTGCAGGAAGAACACAGCTCCGTCAGGGCAGAGTCCATGCTGGTGAAAGCCGGATGGCTCTGTTGCTGTGACTTGGCCCATCTAGATGGGACTTAAGGGTTGTTGAGTGGGGCTGGTTCTGCGATTAAGAAGAGGTGGTGCCCATTTCTCTTCCAGATGGAGTTCCCTCTTCACACTGTCAGCTTATAAATCTCCCCTCAAAGATGCTGATCTCCTCTGAGCTGTCTCGGGATACAGTGTGTTTCAGATAACAAACACTTAGCAGGAAGTGAGGGTTTCCAAAAAGTATCCCTCATAACTATGCATCTCTTCTCTACCTGTTGAGGTTAATGGCACAGCGTATTTGTCCTTCCTCAGAATACACTCTAGACCTGGGCAAGAGCCACTGGCCACCTGTGGCTATATCTAAACACAAATTCATTAAAATTAAAGAAAACTTAGGCTCAGTTCCTCAGTGGTACTGGCCACATTTCAAGTACTCAAGAGCCACTGTGTTGGACAGCACAGATAATAGCACCTTCCATCATGAAAACAGGCCTATTGGATAGCACTGATCTAGACAGATTCATCATCCCATGGAAAGAAGAGATTCAGCCACCATCATCTTCTTTCAGACTTGTTTGTGTGTTCAACACAAATTCTCCTAATATCTTGAGGCTGAGATAGAGCTAAAAATTCTCAGATGACAACCTTGGGAAGAGTGTTAATAGTTAAAAAAAAAATAAAAGCTAAACTAGACTTCTGTTTTACCAATGAACATTGGTATTGGCATTGTTTGGTATTTAAAGTTGCTGGAATAAATTAATATAATTAAATGAAAGGCTGAATTGAATCGTATAAGTTGTGCTTGACAGTAATTTGCAAAAGGACCCAGATGGCTTATTGCTTAATTGGTTGAACAAAGCAAGAATGTGGTGTTCCTTGCTCCCTTAACCATCCCCATGATTTATTACTTTGTTAGAAAAATGGCTGTCAACTCAGTCCCTGGCTGATACTTAAAGACCCTTAATTTAAACAAAACAGATGCCTCCACTTAATTCTCAAAGAAATTCAACCTTCTCCTCATCATAGAGTAATAGTATTCAAATCCTCTCCTCTATGGACTCAGTTCTGATTTTATGTACAATGATCAGTTTAAAAGTGGAGAAACCTGGCCATCAGAAGATTTGATTCCCAAGAGTTTCACTTGTCCATCTGAATTTTCTAAGACTTTATTGTTTGGGTTTTAAGATTGAATTCACCATCATTAGTAAGTAATGATCTAGACAGATTCATCATCCCATGGAAAGAAGAGATTCAGCCACCATCTTCTTCTTTCAGACTTGTTTCTATTCAACACAAATTCTCTTGATATCCTAAGGCTGTCCTGCTGTGGGGACAGAGAGTTTTCAGCCAACAATGTTAAGAGTCCAACACTTTTTGTGTTATTTCACAACGAAAGCAGATGTCATCCCCAGAGGGGCCCTGACCTATTTCCTCTTTGGTCTCAATGCATTAATCTCACTGGCCAACTTAGAATCTCAACTCCCATGAACATCAGACAGTCCCCTGGCCCAAGCTGATGGTGTGTCTGTCACTGTGCCAGAATTTGACATCATTGGAGGTCACGTTATCGTGCCCACCTCAAGGGGAGCCTTCCGCTTTGCCCTGAGAGGCCATGACAAAGCCAGTTGGGCACCAAACGACCTGTGACCAGTCACTAAATCTGGACACTGCCGTGGGCTGCCTGATAGGCACAGCTCTGCATATTGTGGACACTGTTTATGCTTGTTCTGTAAAGGTTCTGTTAGAAATGCAGCTTGTTTGGCCGAAGCCCAAAGCACCTACAAGTCCTGCTCTGACTCTTCAAATGCCTGGATTTCGGCATATTTTCAATAATTATGTTGAGCACAATAACCAAGGAGGTGATATTTCCAGGATTCTAGAATCCTCTGCTATTTCTGCGTTAATTATATTCCAATCTCCAATGTTTCTGCAACCTCCTGGTGGCTTAGATGGTAAAGCATCTGCCTACAACTCAGAAGACCCGGGTTTGATCCCTGGGTTGGTAAGATCCCTTGGAGAAGGAAATGGCAACCCACTCCAGTACTCTTGCCTGGAAAATCCTATGGATGGAGGAGCCTGGAGGGCTGCAGTCCATGGGGTTGCAAAGAGTCGGACACGACTGAGCGACTTCACTTAACTTTATTTCAATGTTTCTGCAGTTTCAACCTCCTCTTCTGTGAAATGTGCTCTTTAAATAGGGAAGTGTGTTCTTAGCATTGCTTTAATATTGTGAGAATCTTTGCTGATGTGGTAGTTCTTTGCACGGGTCTGGGATGTTGGTATTTTTTAATCACCAAGTCTCTACATTATACTAATATGCTATGCTCTCATGACATTGAAGCAGGTCACCTGACTCTTTTGGGTTAAGAAGAGAGTCGGTGTGGTTACTTCACTCCCAGTGATAGTTTGCAAGCTCAGCCCAAACAGATCAGCATCATGTTTGAAAATTGTTGTTCAGTTGCTAAATTGTGTCCAACTCTTTGCGACTCCATGGACTGCAGCACGCCAGGCCCCTCTGTCCTCCACTATCTTCCAGAGCTTGCTCAAACTCATGTCCATCGAGTCGGTGATGCCATCCAACCATCTCATCCTCTGTCGTCCCCTTCTCCTCTCACCTTCAATCTTTCCCAGCATCAAGGTCTTTTCAAATGAGTCAGTTCTTTCGCACAGGTGGCCAAAGTATTGGAGCTTCAGCTTTAGCATCAGTCCTTCCAATGAATATTCAGGACTGATCTCCTTTAGGATGGACTGGTTGGATCTCTTTGCAGTCCAAGGGACTCTCAAGAGTCTTCTCCAACACCACAGTTCAAAAACATCAGTTCTTTGGTGCTCAGCCTTCTTTATGGTCCATCCCTTATATCCGTATATGATTACCTGGAAAACCATAGCTTTGACTAATTGGATCTTGTTGGGAAAGTAATGTCCCTGCTTCCTAATATGCTGTCTAGGCTTGTCATAGTCCTTTTTCCAAGGAGCAAGCATCTTTTAATTTCATGGCTGGACTTACCATTCACAGTGATTTTGGAGCCCAAGAAAATAAAATCTGACACTGCTTCCACTTTTCCCCCTTCCATTTGCCATAAAGTGATGGGACTGGAAGCCATGATCTTAGCTTTTTTTTTAATTGTTGAGTTTCAAGCCAGCTTTTTCACTCCCCTCTTTCACCTTCATCAAGAGACTCTTAGGTTCCTCTTCACTTTCTGCCCTTAGAGGAGTTTGAAAATTTCTGAACCATACAGCTAACTCACAGTCAAGTGATATTCTAGAACCCTTGACAAATGCTAAATGAAGATGACAGGGCCAATTCTCCTGCATCTTGGACCTACGAAAGCCTTTTAACTCTACAGTAAAATGTGACCAGCGGGTGGGGCACCTTCTACTTCACTGCGCGACCTTCTTGATGGCACTGTTGACCCTTCTCCTTGGCTGAGGGTGACAATGCTTAATGCTTCACTTAAGGCCCGGAAGAGCCTGAAAACCTGTTTTTCAAGTCATGACTAGTACAGATGCACCAATGACCCTGTTCAGAGGGTGGAGAAGTATCTGTTATGGGGGAGGTGGGCAGCTACTGGATTGCCCAACCCACACAATTCCCCAATTCTAGCCACGCGTCTACACTGGGGGCCACCTGCTGCCTCTATGGGAGTCCACCCCCTGATTGGTGGCAGGAGGACCCTTGACCTAATTGGGTCAATCAGCACATTCACCAATAATTTTCTACTGAGACTAAGAAACTAGTCTCTCTGGAAGGGACATGAGAGACAAGGTAAGAATCTATGAGCACTGGACAAATCAGTTTATTGCTCATATTTTCAGCTGTTCTCAGCCTCCTCTCCTCTCCTGGAAGAACCCGTGGTGTGAAGGCACAGAAATACCATTGTCCGTGGACAGAGGATGACAAGCTGCCGGAGCTGCTGCAGGAAGCGCTGGGGGGATGGCCCTGGTCTCGAGGAGGCAGCTGGGGCCCTGGCAGGCAGCCCCGTGGAGAGGATCCATGGTGAGACTCTGTGTGTGTATGCATGCTCAGTTGTCCACCTCTCTGCGGCCCGCCAGGTCCTCTGTCCGTGGGATTCTCCAGGCAAGAATACTGGAGGGGGTTGCCACGCCCTCTGCCAGGGGATCTTCCCAACCTGGGGATCGAACTTGCGTCTCCTGTGTCTCCTGCATTGGCAGGCAGATTCTTTACTGCTGAGCCAAAGGAGTCTTTTGGAAATGGTCCAGGACCTGTGGCCTTGGAGAACAGCCATAACTAAACAGCCAACCGTGAGATTCTGTGATTGGAAAACAAATTCTGAGAAAGCCCAAAATTAGATTCTCTCGATTCTAAGTCCCAGAGTAAAGCTAAAACACAGTTAACTAAGAAAGAGATGCCAAATTCACCCTTCCACACCAGTCCGTGATAGTGATAGCTGTTCTGGCCCCACCCGCCTCCCGCTAGCCTTTCAGCCTCGGGGAGTGAGCAGCGGCCTGAGGGGTTTTTGCCTGTGAGTGCTTCAGCCGTGTCCAACTCTGCAACCCCATGGACTGTAGCCCGCCAAGATCCTCTGTTCAGGGTATTTTCCCAGCAAGAATACTGTAGTTAGTTGCCATTTCCTCCTCCAGCAGATCTTCCCGACCCAGGAATCAAACTAGCATCTCTTATGTCTCCTGCATTGGCAGGCGGGTTCTTTACCACTAGCATAGCACCACCTTCTTCACCTGTGGGTTTCCTTCAAAGGTAAAAAGGTTGCTTTCTGATGTGGGGAAGGCCAGATGAGCCTAGGAGGTCACCCCCCAGGACCAACCCTCAATCAGTGGCTGACAAGAGCTGGAGTATAAATGCCTCAGCTCCCTCACCTCTCCAGCAGGACAGCTCTGAGGTGCAGATTCTGTGCCGTTTCCCAGAGTCTACTGTGGGGTTGAGCTCTGATCACCCAAACGGTAAGTGGCTTGATTGGCTGCAATCCTTTCCTCACACCCCAACCCGGTGCTTCCTAAGCTCACCTTTCAGACAAATCACTTGCCCTCAAATCCTTATCTCCTTGTCTCCTAATAGGGAAATCCACCCTAGAATGCATGGCCTGTCCACTAAAAGTTTCTACCTACAAAAGTTAGTTTGCTCATCAAATTCCATTATTTGCTTGTTTGTCCTAGTCCCACCCCACAAGCCAAATACCCCTAGTCCCTTGGACTGAAATTATCTCACCAAACTGCAAGACCAGCATATGGGCTTCCAGGAAGCTGTGTCCCAAGGGAAGGAGACTGAGGAAGGGGCATGTGGTCAGTCCTTATCCCAAGCTTATCTAAAATATTAGGTGTCCTTCCTCCTTGAGGACCAGTGAGTGAGAAGTAGAGAGAGGCCGCTCATGTTCCGCTAATTGATGCCCCTCCTTGTGGAAACCCGAAGCCTCGGGAAGCAAAGTTCCCCTGCAACACAGAAAATTCCCCTCTCATATTCCAGTTATTTTCCAGTTACTGGTACACACCAGCATTAGAGGATATCAGGTATACTCTAAATTAGGAGTAGAGAGCATGATAGCTCTCCAGAAGAAAGTGGAAGAGGAGGGTCAAACAATGTCATGAACATCTAAAGGGCAAGATGGTCAAAAACATATTCCTAGTGGGGGCAAAAAGGGTTACCAGAGGGACTTTCAGAATTGTGTCCAGTCCTCAGTCTAAAATGTTATTTCCATTGCCCCAAACTTTCAGCCAAGCCTTCCACACTGACCCAGTCCTGTGTTGGAGGATGGGAATCACAGAACTGGGCTGAGCTCCTGTCTGGGGCTGAGCCCAGAAAGAGCAGCCTTTGCAGG